TGCGGAGAATAGTTAGGAGTGGTAGGTGTAGCTTGATTCTGTATGGCTAAACATGACCGCTGTCTCTAGCCCTCAAAATGGAATCTTTTGTGAACGGGTTGTACTCTAAATTAGTCATCATGCTTTTCTGCAGAATTGCTTGCATATGAGAAAGCATTAACATTGTTAAACTGCGAAGTATCTGAGGCGTAAATATTGCATCTTCCTATTTATGCACCACAGTATTCTGCCTATATACGGTTTTACAAGTTTATGAATGAATTTAGGAGGATATGAGTGCTTCCATTAGTTTATCTCTCAACCTTATGACATTAAGCATCATTTCAATTACATACTTAAATGACGTTTTACGTTGGGGAGAAGGATTTTATTGTAAGCATCATCAGCTCACTGATAACTTTTCTGTTTTATTACCGTACTTCCAATTTCAGTAACTAACCTCTCACTAGTCCATTGTTTAGGTCCCAGTAATCCTATTTGAAATTCTGCATTGTGAAACTGTGATACTTTGGGTTACTAACATGAAAAAAACAAAATACTGTCACAGAGCCTGTGGTTGAACATTCTGTCAAAGCTGAGCTCTGAAGCAATATAAAAATAATTTCATCTGGACATGGGGAAGTCTTAAGCCCCTCCCCCTTAACCTAGTCTTAAGGCTCTTCCCAGTTACTGCTTTTATAAACATTTTTAGGGTGAGTAGATGTAAAATCCTGTGATCTGCAAAATGTTGGTTGTAAGGATTTAATTATGGTAGCTACATTGCCAAAAATCTGTGTTTGAACAGCATCAGTGACTAATGGAAAGATAGTTATCTATATTTTTAGTTTAAAACTATCATTCCTTTTCAGATGTATTTTAGAAAAGGAGGAAAAGTTTGTTCCTTGAAAACTGTTAGCAGTGATTTTTGGATTGTTTTAGTCCACATTTAGTTGATGTTTCTTTAGTTGATCCTTTATAGGTATGTCGAGGACTTACCTTCTTTTGAAGATATGGACAGCTCACTCATTACGAAGCCTATCTCACATTTGTATGTGTAGGCGCATGCATGAATCTGTTTATATCACTAACATGCATGAGCCAAATCTTAAAGTGTTGGTATTCATTTTTCAAAGCAGTATAGTTTATGGTGAAATTAGTAGAAGATACGTAGCTTAGTGTCATGAACATTTTTGAAGAGCAGAACCATTGCGGTTTTTTTGTTGTTCCAGTCTGTTACTGTACAGAAATACTTGTGCATGCCTAATAATGCTACCCATTTCCAGGAGCAACAAACATGGTCAGTAGTCAGAAATGAAACTACTAAACACCTCTGTGTTTTACTCCAGCTGTTTGGCTTTCTGCTCATTCTCCAGTTGCACATCTCCCTGCCCTGACATCCCAGGTAGTGGAGTCACACTTAAATCTGTGCTCTGTATTTTTGAGAACACCTTTTAATTTTGCAGCACTTTTTGCTAATGTGTAATCTGTCTTGCTTCCTCCCTGAACTAAAGGCCCTTTAAAATCATCCCTCAACAGCCAGTCTGCTCAGACAGTGGTGTCTCTTTTTTTTCCTGAGAATGCCTTTGGGCATCTTTTCTGCAGATACTGTTGATTAATGGTCTTGATTAGACTGCCTTCTCCCCTCATGTAACCTGTGGAGCAGTAAACCAAGAGGGAGGTTATGTAAGTTACCTACTTCAGTAGTTACCGTTTTCTTTCCCTGTCAAAAAGATTTATGAAACCACACTAATTACAAAGAATTTCAAGGCTTTGTAAGGCTATTCAGTTCCATTATTTAATATCGATTCAAACTCGGCTACTGAATTTTTAATATATTAAAAATGGACCTGTTAAAAATACTTGTGAGATGCTACTTGCATCTAGTCCTCTCTGAAGCCTCTAACCAGTGGCCATCCATTCCATAGGAAACTTAACCCCAGTTCTGCATTTGCTTGATGTGGTCTGTGGCACAAGAGGTGGAGGTGTGACAGCATCTTTGGATTGACCTTTTTTTTTTTTTAATTTTATTGTTAAATACAGAATTCTTAATGTTTTACATATGAAAGCTGAGTAAGATGGACTGTTTGACTTGATACACTTAGATTGTATTTTTTGTTCTCTCTCTGGCTTTGCATCTTCAGTTTGGTATGTAACGTATGTGCAAAAAATTGAAGTTATTTTGAAGAAGCTGTTAGAAGAAATTACATGGGTGTTTTCTGCTTAAATAACCAGTGATTATCAGAATTGATGTTAAACCATGCTCATTAGTGCTTCAATTTATATTCATTCACAGTTTGAATGCTTCCATCTAAATTTTTTAACTGAAATCTTTTTTGTAGGTATAACAGGTACTGCAGAATCCTTGGACATGCTTTTAGTTACAGCAATTCGCTGTACTGTTCTTACGTGCCTAGAGAAAGCTTCCTGTACCTTTTCGAACATGTGTTTCCATCTAGTGATCTGGTTTTGCTGTGTTTATTCTGTGGCCTGTGGCTAAGGCATGTTATGTTAGCCGAGTTCTGGAAGAAGCTGTGCTGATGCTTGCCATGTGCTGATTTACTCTTGTGTGGGGTTTTTTTTGTGTGTGTGATTATTTTTACGCACATTCAATCTTGCCGTCTCATCATGTTGTTTTCTAGACCTGGATCTGTCTGCTTATTGGAAGCTTTGCATTGGAGTTATGCTAACATGTACTTATTTATCTTGGTTGATCATGTGGCAAGCAAACTTTGCAGCTGGCTTTCTTATTCTAAATGGATAAGCTTTTATTTATTTTTAAAGGAAGTCTGTTTTATCTGCATGGCATATATGTCTAATTAGAACTTCCCCACTCTTAACATTTAAGTGGTTCCTGCTTAGACGATGCTAAATGGTTTCCTATAACCCATGAAGCCATCCTTTATCTGATCAAAAGATGATAAACCAAACAAATACAGAAGACTTCTACTTATCTCTTTTTAGCTTGGATTGATTTGCTGTTGTGGCTTGAACTATGCTGCCTTATTAATTCTGGCTAGGGATGAGTTCAGTTGATATTGGTGCATTGCTCTGTTGTGAATATGTGGTTGCTGTTTCTGCACGAGTGAAAACATGGCCTGGAAATGCCACCACTGCCATGTGCTGGAAGCAGCACTGTGTAAAGAGGGCTAATGGGAGATCCAATGCTTCTGCTGCTGTGTTTTACAGATTTTCTGTGAGTTACTATTCTGAGATGCCTTTCACTGTCAGTAAAATATGTTAGTACATGTCTATTAAATGTGTTTTATTAGCTTTTTAGTACATGAGCCATACTAAAGCAAGTGTAGTCTTCTCTTGTTCAACAAGAATGCTGTTAACATGGTGCCAGAATTTAAGCTGCTGTATCTTTTTCTTTTTAGTGTGACTAAGCGGCTAAGATCCCTTTTTCCCAAAAAGGCCTGACCAGTTTAGCTGATGAAGTGTTAGTGTGCACACATATAGAGTTACTTCACTTGCGTAAACTATGCTGCATCGTCATTTTTAATGAAAACATTGTGTCTTGTTTGAAAGGAGTTCATCATGTGTGCATGTGCATGGTTCTTCTGCCTATCTGACTTCACTGTAGCATCAGAAATACTACAAGTAAACTGGTATTTTGCGTGCAGCTAATTACTGCAGAACGCTAATTGTAACTCTTCTTCATTCCCTTCTGCAGAATGACAGGAAGAGAGTTTTTCTCTCGGTTTCCAAGTCTTTATCCTTTCCTTCTCAAGCAGTTGGAGGTTGTAACCAATACTTTGAACAGGTAAGACTCTGTCTGAGAAAGATTTGAAACATTAAGTGCAATGAAAAGGTTAAACTGAGTTGTGTTACATATGCCCTAATGCTGTTCTTTTCATCAGTGCTTCTTGGAATGATAATAATTCTACTGGTGTCTTTTGCTAAGGCTTTTTTCCCATAACTTTTGCACATTGCAGTAAGTCTCTGGAGTATGAACTACTTTTGAGTAATTAGTAGCTGCCATGTTCCTAGGATGAGATGTTAAAAGACATTTTTTACGGAAAGACAGAAGCAGGGTGTTTGATTGTCTTGTGTTTAACAATGAGACTTCCTAACATGTTTAAGTGATACAGGGTCATAGACCTCATGTAACCCCAAATGAACACTTTCCAGCTTGTGACATTGACTCTGGGGAAGGTCCCTGATCTTTCTTTAAGGACTCCAAAAATGGTGGCTGAGTGCTCCAATTTGATCAATGCAGATGCTGTAATTTGGGATGATGCTGATACTGTTACCCCCAGGTTCATGAACTTTTAAAGTAAACCAGTGCTGGCTTTGTTTTTTCTTAAAATGCTAATGATATAAACTGTGGAAGTTCAGCAGCTGGTTTACAGGCGAGATTCAGCTGTCTTATTTAATAGCCCTGAGGTGGATACTTGGGAGCAGGAGTTTCACCAGTTGTTGCATGTTTTGCAGTCTTTGCTCTAAGAAAAAAAGGTGTATATATATTCTGTGCAGCAGCCTGCTTTACCTGACATTTTGAAAGGTGGCAATGTCATCACTGGAAAATTTTGGGAAGTCTTTAAACTGAAGAAGATTGATAGCTGCTGCCTGAAATGTTGGCTTTGAATGCTTTTTTTCAATGCAGATTAAGGCTTGTATCTTATTAATAATCATTAACTAAATCTAGAAGTGTTGATTTTTGACTTGGATTTCTTACTGTTTTTGCAATACGAATAGTAGCCACTTGATGTCAATGACAAGAACTATTCTTTAATAAAGCCTGCTATTTACTAAATACACATTTCCTTCCAAACTGAAAAAAAGACCTTTTTTTTTTAACCAACTTTTTGTAACTCAGCTTCTCAGTTTCTCACTTCCTAGAGAAACATCATCTATGCTGGTTATTAATATTACTTAAAAGCGAAGGCAGTCCACCATAATTAGAAATAAAGAAGGCTTGGAATAATGTAGGAAAGTGAAGGCAGCACAGCCTTAAGTGCCTTCATACAGGGGTCCCCAGTGGTGCCATAGGAGAACTGGATGCCATGTTTGATCCCAGCAGGGTTTGCATTTTGTTTCCATGATCAGGCCTTGATCCAGAAATGCAGAAGGGTATGTGGAAGACTTTAAAGACTAACACGAAGCAGGATGCTTTTTTCACCAAATGCTTCTTTCACTTTTTTATTCAGTGAAGCTGAAGAGTTGAAAATCCATCCTAGCCTGTTTCTTTTGCTTTTAATACTGGGAAGGCTGTATCCATCTCCGATGGATGGCACTTACTCAGCACTCAGTATGGCACCGTTTGTCCCACTTATTATAAGGTAAGGTGATTTTGTGGTGGTTTTTCATGTGATGGGAGTTCTTTCTTGAATCTTTGGAATTTTTTTTTTTTAAATAAGATACCTTTCTAAGCTTCTCTTCAGCTTTAATTCTTAAAGGAAAAACTGATATTCATTGATTGGACTTCACCATATTATTAATGCTTGGGTTGACGGATTAGGAAGAACTTCAGCTCATGCAAGCCATTGTATGACTTGTTTGTAAATCTGCAAAGGGGGTCTCTGTACAGCAGGACTGCTGCCCCAAGAGAGGGCAGATGAAAATTGTTGAGCTTGACTGACTTTAGCAATGCAAGATTCTTGTACAAATTTCTGATGGGTTTTTCAGTCCTGTGGAATGATTGTTCGCAACACATAAATGTAATGGCTAATACATAAATTTGTAGGTATATATGTATATATATCTCTCCATCTGTCCATATCCATCCATATATATAAATATTCCATATATAGCTAGATAAAGATATGGATATATCCTATAACTAATATATTTCTAAGATGACTTTTCAAGTTTTTGTACAGTGTAACTTTAATTTATATAGTGGTTACATCAAGATACTCAGCAGATATTTTTTTCTATATCATATGCCACTGGTGTGGTATGGGGAGCCTGATAAAGTAGCAGGGCTGTAGTGAGTGAGGAGAAAGGAGCATAATCAGTATTTGAGAAGTCGCCTTGTGATCTGTGTGAAAGCTTCAGAGCAATGGGGTGAGAAAGTTCTGTACTTAATCTTGCTCCTTTAGCAGTGAAACAAGATAAAGTTGTTGTTATCCTAAGATCTTCCAATTTTTATTTTAAACTACTGTTTATGTTAGGAAATAATAACAGCTCTGTCCGCTTATTCTTCACAGCAGATGTGAAGTATCTCTCACTTCTTACAATGTTTTTTGGAATTTTCAAGAATAAATAATAACTTACCATTTTTTCTTAAAGGAAAAAACCTGTAGTAAGAGTTTTAAATGCACTGTATTTAACAATTAAAAGCATTTGGTTTTCTGACATACTTGAATCTTAAATGCTTTTTGGGGAAACGTTTAAAACTGTACTTCTTGGTTACATCATTGATTAGCTCTGGTTTTATGCCTTTGTTAATATGCCAGAGAATGTTTATATATTTATTATTTTTGTTTTTATTATAATGTTTCAGCATAGTTTCTGATAATGGTATTAGATTAACTTTTGGTAAGCTTTTGGTTACAGCTTTTGAGTTTTGTCTTTATACTATGACCACTACTTTTGGCAAGGTACATCCACCAGCAAAATAACTCTTCACACTTAAATAGCTTATTCTCTTGAGGTTATTTAAATCCATTCTGAAGATGTGGGGAGAAAACCCCAATAAAATCTTTAAAAAGACCCTGAAACATTTAAGACACCTGTATCATTGGACCTACTTTCATTTAACTGTGCTCCTAAAGAGGAGTGGTGTGGCAGACTAAAGATGATGTTTTCTGCATTTCCTTTCCATTGAGTTTGGCAGTTAAGTGCTGCGGATACAGGTACAAGACTAGAACAAAATTCTTACATATTTCAAACAGAAAATTGTATGTGGGTGTACAGACATGCATTTTCTGATGGGTTACTTAGCAAAGCATTGGCATTTTTTTATGGTTGCCAGAGGACAATACCAAGGATTCTGCAGGAGGAAATGTACGTATTTATGACATAGCTCAGTGTGCTGTTACTGGCTGTATTTCTGCGTACAGCTCTTGTGCCTTTGTTCTGTGAGTACCATGATTGTTTTCAGTTCACTCTGACTGCATTAGTTGGAATACATAGGGGTGATTTACCTGGGTAAGAGGAATACGTTGCTATTTTCACTTCTATTTCCCTTCCTATTTTCCATTCTACAGGAGCAGATGAACTAAAATAAAATTCTTTCCTGTTCATTTGGTTGTTCTTCAGAAGGTGGTGATGAAGATTGTTGTGAAGTAACCACTTAGGATCAAAGAGAAGGCCTGGTGCCAAAGGCCCTATGCATCAAGACATTAAATTGTATATATTAACTGTACCTTTGAATTGCTCAATGTAGTATTGTATTATATAGCATCTATGTATACATATACTTACATAGTAGCCCAATGCAATTATAACAATGAATTGCCATATTTTTACCATGAGATTTTTACATTTCTATTGTCATGCCACTGGCAAGGAAAGATACTACTTATGTGGTAGGGAGAGAGGAAAGGTGACTATAACCCATAATTGATCTTCAGACTCTTTCCAGGACTCAACCCACAATGAAGTGGCATTCATTTGTTACTCTGAGAGGATGAACACAATCCTTACTGTGTTTGCAAGCAAAGGAGCAGTTTTCTGAACAAAACCGGGTTTAGCAGGAAGAATTCAAGTCGGGCTTTTGAAGAGTTTCACTTAAGCCTGAGTGGAATTTTCCATCTAGTGGGAGTAGAGCTGTGGTTGCTCTGACCGTGAATTGCACAATGAGGAGGATTAAATGCTACAAGGACAAACCTCAGTCTCTGTGCGCGTACTTGTTACTCCCTGTTGAACTAGGGCATTTGATTACCTATCTGCAGTTCTATTAACAGTTATTTTTTTTTTTTTCCCCTTTCCCCTTGCAGATGTTTTATTTGGAGGGGAACACTTCGAGTCACAACTTATTACCTCACTTTTTTTTAAGAGCTAGATAGGTCTGTTTTAATGGTTACTTTCTAAGACGAAGGAATGTACAGAATGTTTTTGATTAACAAGGGAGGTAATCTAGAGGTTATGTTTTAAGTATGAAACAAAAACATAACCTCCCTTTTGCCTCCCCCTCCCCCTTTCAAAGACCTGTAATCTCTTCAGAATGATCTAAGTATGAGTTACCTTATGTCCTCTTGTACCATGGCATTGACAGAGCGTTTGTTTAGTGTTAAATGTTCTGGGCTGAGAGCTCTGAAGGAGTAAAACAGGTATTGCTATATTGACTTGGTTACTTTTCGCTAATTGAAGTCTAGCCCTATTTGGGAGTGTGGCTTTTTAATCTTTTAAGAAGTTTTTTAAAAAATTAGCTTTAAAATGTCAAACAATATAAGTTTTTTTCAAGACTCTTTGGGTGTATGTGCCTTGTCTTCCCCTTGACAAAACTGTTCTAAATTTTCAGTGAAATTTCCCCTTTAAAATTTTGTCAAATAGACAGATTTCAAAGCAGTGTTGCTTCTAGGTATATTATGTTGCAAGTCATTGAAGAAACTCCCTGTCTGAGGACAATTTCCACAGTAATGTGAACATTTTTCCTTGAAATTAACACAGTTACGAAATAGACACTGTTTTCTTGTGTAGAATTTTGTAACTTGCATTTTTCTTTAAAATAGAGGAGCTAAATTCCAAAATCCCCTGATGCTGTTTTTAGTCAGGGACCCGGGTAGGTGGCAGTGGGAAGCACTGGTCCTTTACAGTTGTTCTCTTCCCCGTCTTGCCCCCCTCTGTCCACCACCCTGGATGAATAAGGTGCTATTTTGTTTTTACACTCGAGTGAGCTTGTCATTAGTATGCAGGGATAATTACTGCAACTGTTAGTTAATGACAGACACTAAGATGCAAGGAAAACAAAATTGTGTGTAGCGAGGAAAAATTTTCTGTAGGATGAAGCATTGTCAGCTGCCCTGTTACCATAAGTCATTCCTAGAAGAGTGCTTAGAGAAGGAGAGAGGAAGTCCACATCAGCTGTGAGCAAACTGGCAGCTCACAGGCTATCGTAGTAGCTGTGATAGGAAAACTCAAATAAATCTGTTATTTAAGAATCATCTGCTAGAGGGTATGTGGATTTACATTAATCTAGCTATCCCCTGTCTTGGAAAAGCAGAGGAAACAACTGAAGATTGTATGACTGTTTTCATGCGACACTTTGTCTTGGAAGTTACTGCTTTCACAGCTTGCTTGCCAGAACGGGCTCTGTGAAACCTCCTAGTAAGTGTCTGGCCAAGTCAGCTTGGAAAATTTCTTAAAAATCACTCGTCTGAAGCAGTGCGAGATGTCCGGAGTGCCCCCCGCGATCCCTTTCCCACGGCAGTGCTGCGGCGCTGGCGATGTCCGCCTGCCATGCGGGAGCCCTCCGCAAGCACCGGCGTGGTGTCCCAGTGGGTTCCTGTGAATCCTGTCCTTGTGCAGCACTGTGGGGCCTGCTGTCCTGCCATGCCGGTTGCCTGTGGGGCCAGGATGACGTTCCTTCATGAAACTTCATTTTCTTGGTCTTTTTGAAGGGGTTAGACCAGACTCTTTAACTTTAAAGATCTGTTACCCTGAGGATTTGCTGGACTCTTTTTAGATACGTTACATGACTCTTACCTTAAGCTTACATTTGTGAGTCTGTCTTTTTGAAGAAGTGATGCAGGGCTTGGCCCCAGTTTGTTTCAGACCTGGGGGAAAAGCAAAAAAAATCCTAGGAGCCATTATTCCATGAGTATTTAATCCACACATGTAATATGCTACTCTTAGTTTTGTTCGGTGGGTAAATACTCTTTAAGTTTTGTTCACTTATAGTTAAATCTTTTTAAAATCTTAACAGATGCCAATCCATAATCATATGCAGGTTACAGAAGATTTTTCTTAAGATTTAAAAGCAAAATTTGAGTTTCTGTTCCAAAAGATCAAACTCCTTCAGTGAAGCCTGAGAGGTTCAGTGTATAAAATACAGATTCCATAAATCATTCTGTACAAAACACTATTCAGAGATTGTCAGATACAAACAAGCTTAGAAAGCTATTTTTAAAATGCTGATATTCGGAATACAAATTTATAATAGAAATACAAACTTGAATTTTAATCTCTTATAATTAATTTTGTTTTGCAGTTTTTGTTGGGCAAAGTGAATCACAGTCTATCTTTAAAAATAGACCTTCAATTGCACTCTGCTTGAACCACGTACAAAGGACTAATTGTTTTCAATAGTTTTCTGATTAGTAAAACGTTTAAGATCTTTCCCACGTAGTGAAGCAACCTCATGATGTTGCACAATACTGTATCCTCCAAATACGGTT